CGGTTTATTTTAAAGACGGCTCACGCTCCTGTCTTCGCCATATCGAAGGCGATCACTTAAATGAAGCAGCTGTCAAAATCCTTCAAAAATATCATTCTGCCACGGCTGAAAATACTGCAAACGGCGATCAGATCTCTCTCTTAATCAAAGAACTTCAATCACATTTGGAACAGATAAAACCACAGTCTTTGTCTAAACCACGTACTATTTTGAATTTTGATGACCCCTTTCTCTATAGTGATGAAGGCTATCGCTGTTTAACTGGTATCGATAGAGAGCAATTTAATAGTTTAACCGAAATCGTACGAATGAGAAACACGGAAAATCGATCGATTCGAATGGCATCGATTATGCGGAAATAATCATTTTTTAACTCAAAAAGCCAGATGTCCGCCTGCTCTATGACGAAATGCCCACTGTATTGTGCGGTTCTTACCGATATGATAGAGCTCATGGTTCTGAACAACTTTGCCATTTAGCATGATATCACAGTCGGTTTCTAAAATATGGTGAACGTTATTCTCTCTCTATGACGTGCGAAACCAGATATCCAGACGCTGTTCATCGAGCGCAAGTCGAGAATATTTTGTATTGGAAAATATTAAGGCTATCTATTACAAAATTTTACGATATCCAGAATCTTAGGGTTTTGTGGGAAAACGCTTGCAGTGCATTAAAATGTTGGTCTAAAGGCGATCCGGCTTTTGCTCTAACATATGAAAATTTGCTAGATTTTATTTCGCAGAATTAGAGTACACGAATAACATACATTGACATAGTTTCGAAAGCCTTTAGAAATACGCTCGTTATCTTTAGCGAGTCATGTAGCACTAACCATGTCTTATGCTTTGAAGCAATAAGTCTTTCTAAGTTTCGCTCCGTATACTGACCAATATACCTAAGAATCAAGAACATTTTTGTGTACTTGTGTAAGAAATGATTATTCTTCACTATTTTGTTGCATTGTTTACTATTCACGGGATTGTTTGTTTGAATCTTGCTGACTAGGAACACCGACCTTGTCAGTATTAGTTTCTCGTAATACTCTAGCCCACGGTCCAACATCGGTCACCATGACAAAGTCATATAAAACTTTTATCCAACTGCCCAAAACGAAAGACCACACAATTATGCTAAGAAAGAAGAAAAGTAGAAGAAACGATTATACCTTGTGTAATGTGGCAAATTTTCATAATATTCTGCAGCAATCTGACGAACCTAACAACGATAATAAATGATATGAGACATGAAAAACTCAACCGACTAAATTTGTATTGCCGTCTAAACGAGTTCAGCTGGCTTATGGATTACACGTCTTTCTAGGAAAAAAGAACTGCTTTGAATTGATATTTTCAGCGTCAGTTTTGTCGATCTGATCGACCGGCACATGCCACATCGCAGGAAAACGTTCGTCTACAGATCATGGGCTCTCCGGTAGAAGTACAACATCTTAATCATATTTCAAATTAACTTTCGGTTTCTGTTTTCTCTAAAGTGTTCCACTAAGATTGATTGTATGAGTTCAACAATCATTGCTTTAAAACCTTCATTTAAGTACAAAACTGGTCTAATTAAAACACTGACACACGAGCACTCAGAGCACGTTCATCAGCGAAATTATTGAAAGAAAGAGTGTGAACATATCGTCTAAACTGCAGAAAAAATCTTGTATCAACAGAAAGTGTGCAGAGATATGGCATCAATGATACAGATCGCCTGTTTGACACAGGATTTTCATTCTCGCTATCTGTTTCGACGTTTCAGCTGCCAGCCAGATGATCGGAAGCCATAAGTACCACACACTTTCCACAGGCCCCATGAGCGTTAAATGACACGAACTATTCCTAAGGATTGAACATTGTAAAGGCGATTGCCTTATGTTTAGGGAAAGGAGAGAAGGGAAGGTTCAGTAGAACCTAGCGCAGGTTGATAAGGATGTGGGTAAATTCAACCCCGAAGAGGATACCGTGACGTTACAGGATAGGCCGCAAGTCGTCCAGTCCAGCGTGTAAAGAAGAGACTTTTATATAACCCTTATGGTCGAAAACCGTTGCCACCAAGACCAGGTTTTCTCGGTCAGAAAGCATTTTCATTTTCAAAGCCAAAGTGATATCCGCGGTCAGTACATCGAACTGTGTATAGTTTACTAAATCGTAAGCATCTGAAAAAGATTTTTGAAAAACCTTGAGTTTTCTAGAAGTTTTCTGGAAAACCAAGAAAAAATTTGTTTGACCGCTCCAACGGATAGAGCGTAGTCAAACAGCTATAAAAGAGAAATTTTTCAGAGATAGCTAACGCTTTCTAAACGTTTTAGAACATATGTCTGTCTGCTCTAGTCAAAAGTGCCTACTGCGCACCAGCAGAGTTGCCATGTACAAACCTAAAGTACACGACATCCTAATGTTCACCAGGCTGAAACGATCGGAAAGTCGCTAGGATATTTATCAGCTCCAGTTGTCACGCTAAGAAACATAGCTTGAGTCCAAGCAGTTCTTTCAAGGTTAAATAAAGTCAAGAATCTCTTGAACCGTTCATTGATGGACTCCAGAACGTGTGCTGGCTTCTTTGTAGTATCTCACTTTGTAGTAATCCGCATGCGGAATTTACGATGCAGAACCTGGGAACGAATCGTGTTTATTTTTGTTTGATTGTCCGATTCTTCAAGTTTCTAAAGAGACCTAAGCAGATGTGGATGCATAGATTTTGCAATATTACTCGTCTTTACGATTACAGGCAAAAGAAGCCCTGCTGAAAAATTAAGAGTATGGCAACAATCGGTTGGAGGATTGATAAAATCGAGATCGTTCAGTAGAACTTGTACAACAATGCTACAGTACTTACTTGTGGGAGCCGACTACCCGGAATTGAGGGAAAGTCATGATCTATAAATATACAAAATAAATAAAGTTATTCCATTGTGGTTAATACAATATCGATATATCATACGTTCATTGTGATAGCCGACATTGTATGTAATCCAGTTTAATGGCCCATAATACGAATATGTTTCGTACCCTTCTGTAAACACAAAATGTTCAGCAATAAAATGTCCAGCTAATGGATGTAGTGATAAACCAAGAAATGTACTTAATATGAAATAGACTACTGCTTTAGTACCAAAATAATAGTACATAATAAAATTAAATGAAAACATTATTATCGAATTTACTACTTCCAATTTATGTACTGGCTTTCGGTGAGTAAACATCGGTCGAAACAGGTATAAAAACGGCATTATTAATAAAAATATAAATTTTCCTATTCGTGTTGAAAACAATATAATTTCAAGTTTTGATGGTATGTCTGTATCTTTGACACTGTCTCCTTGAAATCTAAAATATAAGTTGTGATCAAAAAGATTCTTTTACATTTACATTCCTCATACTTATGATGGTCAAGATGATATCTTTTAAATGTAACGGACACCGGTATACCCAACGGTAAGTTACCAAAAAATCCAAGTAATCGATTGCACATTGGTCTACTATGTCCAAATGCCAAATTATGTGCTAACTCATGTAATGCTAATCCTAGTGTATGATTTAATGTACCACCAATAACATAAGCACAAAGAATTAGTAATAACCATGATGATTGGCATAACAACACTGCCATGTAAACTTGTATGAAAACCGAAATGAATACTTGAATCGACATACGCCAATCATGCCCCATTAAGTTTTTTATTTCTGGATACTTTTCTAAATATACATAATATTGAATATTAGTCAATATCTTTAGCCGTTCAACTCGAAACAATCAACACAACATTTCCTGGTGGAATCAACATACTGTATAAATTCGTAAATCGTCATAATACTTTATAACGTATTATGTGAGATGTGTGGACAAAGTGTCTAAAGACGAATTGATGAATCGCAATTTTTAAGCGTAAAAATGATGCAACAATTCGTGTTTTACCCTTATTTTGTGGATTCATACCGAATTGATGCGAACTGTATCGAATTCGTACGGATACTCTTAAAAACTTTTACGAATTCTGCTTGCGAATGCGTAAACAGAGAATAGATCAAACACGGTGCTGATCAATTCGCAAATAATTTGTAAAATTAGTTTACGAATTCGTGTTCACTGTTTTTGGAATCAGACTGATTCGTAAATACGAATTAGCGAATTCGTATTACGAACTGATCCACCGGTTGAAAATGGATCCACGAATTGACAAACCCATCCTACAAATTCATTGCGAATCGATGTGTACGCTTATTAGGTTACGTAGGGACAGGACACTTTTCTCTGAGGTTAAAAATAGATAGATTCGTCTCTTCTCATCGATTCGCATACTTCTCATATCAATTCGCCGTTATCCTAACGAATTCGTAAAATATGGCATGTTGTGTAAATACTCCCAGCCATCCTCACCGCCCTCCCGCTCGGCAGATGCACACAAAAGGGAGAGAGATTCTCCTCTGTTTTGTTTCGCACAGATACATGTATTAATATAGTCTATTATCACATTTTTTGATTACTTCATTCAACTGATCAATTCGTATTCTACGAATTCGTCAAAATAACGGCGAAATGAGGTGAGAAGTATGCGAATCGATGAGAAGAGACGAATCTATCTATTTTTAACCTCAGACAAATGTGTCCTGTCCCTGACATCAATTCGTATTTTACGAATTCTATTTATGAATTCGTCGGTTATGCTTTGGCATCTATGAATTCGTAAATAGAATTCGTAAATTCGCATTTTATCGTATTTTTGCCAATT